TGTCCAATTGTCTACAGATGGGCTTTGGGTCTCCACTTCACCCCCCTCCTCATTCACATTGATATGATTCTTTGCTCTGGGTTTTTGATGCCTGATACCTGATCCCATTGACAGTTCATGATGATACAAACTCGTGTGTTTCTTCCATATGGGCTTGTTGCTTCTCAGCTAGATGGCCACTTGTTTTTCTTCAAGCATCAAAGACACCCAAGATGCTGTATGTTTTGATAGCTGGACACCATCCGCTTTCTTCACCACATTTGCTTATGCACCCATCTTATCTTCAGTGATTATGTTGGGAAGGTGAGCATCACAGAATGCCGGGTTATTAGAACAAAGTGTTTGTGCGGTGAGGGCGCACTTGAGTAGAGGAGGCCCAATGTCTATCTGCTGCCTTAATAGTTAACATATAAATATATGAACATAGATGTATTTCCCTATAATTTAAATATATTTATATATGTCACAGAATCTTTCAATACACAACTTGAGGCTTGACATTTTTCCAGCTTGAAAAATGCCGTGTCCTTCCCTTTGGGTCTTCTAACTCCAAGTCTTTGCATGCATTTCCTTATAATGCGTTACCTTGTCTTCACCAGCTGTCCTTTGAAATGGCCTGTTGAGTTCTTCATTTCTTTCATCACTTTAGCTTCTCTGCCTTCAAGAGTTAAGTGTCAGAGCTCCCTCTGACGTCCACGTTGGGCCTTTCTTTCTTTCTTTCTTTCTTTCTTTCTTTCTTTCTTTCTTTCTTTCTTGTATTTTTAACAACTGTTTGCTTTTCTTAATGTCACACCACAATTTTTCCCGCCTTCGGGGTTGTGTGTCAAATTTGTTCCTGAGAGGCTCTCTAAATTCTATTTTGAGGAGCTAGCTCTTCACCAGCCCTATTTTGAGTTCCTTCCAGCCTGAGGGGCTCAACTTCCGGCACTGTATCAAATAAAGTGTGGGATACAAAAAGGTTTTTTTCCCCAGGTGGTTCCCCATACTGCATACCCGGCCTAGGACTTGCTAGCCCATTTTGCGAGGTCAGCTGGGAGGGGAAAAAATGAGGAGCTAATACCAAGGGCTCAAGTAGAAAGAAAATGTTTTGTGAATGATGATGGCAATAAAAGTACAAATGTGCTTGACGTAATGTATGTATGTATGGATTGTGATTAAGAGTTGTATGAACACCACAATAAAATGAGTTAATTAAAAAAAAAAAAGAAGTCATCTCCCTGAGGGCATCAGCCATGTAGACTAGACAATCAGACACACTCTGCCCCACCATAGGTGGGGCCCACACCCTGCTGATAAGGATAGTGATTGATTGCTTCCCTGATGCAGAGCCCAGAGACGTGGTCAAGCCAACTCAAGGAGGATCAACATTAGACTGCCATCTTGAATCTAGGATCTGCCCATCTTGTCACATGTGTACCCCTAGTCCCTCCCCTTCCTATGGTGTGTACACACCTAGATCATTCCCCTCCCATTGAATGTATTGCCTATGGTATAACCCCTTCCTGTTACATATGTGGTTACTTGTAACAGGGCGGCTTGAACGCCCCCTAAGTATATATAAGCCTCGGTTAGAAATATATTCTCTATCTTCTCTCTCTCCTCCTGTCTCCCACCTCCACGTGGACCACCAAGAGGGGCTGAGGTGAGTATGCTGCCATAATATGTGTCTGACTCCTTTATCTTCTCTCCTACCTTCTCTGACTTTACTATAATCTTTATATATACTTGCCGTACAGGTGTGCTACAGACCCTGCAGTTTTCGGAGGCGGGCTTACTCTAACACGCTGGTATTCATAAGGTTTTCAGTGGCTACGTTTTTTGTGTAACGGAGGGGTAAGTTAAAGAGACATCAGATAAGATAAAGCATGCAAGGGCTCGTGTCTTTCAGATGAACTGGAACCAGAAGGAGAGAGTAATTGAAGGGAAGAAATTAAGAGACAGACAAAAGTTTTGGGGTGCTCACCTCTGCCATTGCTTCAGGAACCAGGCCCATGCAGCGAGAGGGTGTGATGTATTCTTTTCCGAGCATATGCAATCTCAGGCACAAGAAGGGTTTGTATCAGGGCAGTGGTTTTCAACCTTCCTAATGCCACGACGCTTTAATACAGGTCCTCATGTTGTGGTGACACCAACCATAAAATGATTTTCATTACTACGGTACTTCATAACAGTAATTTTGCTACTATTATGAATCAGGTGAACCCTATCAAAGGATTGTTCAACCCCCAAAGAGGTCATGACCTACAGGTTGAGAAATCTCTGTATTAGAGGCATACGCATAACAGAAAGGGGACAAGCCAGGGATATACACACAATAGAAAGGGGAGGCACTGGAGGCATACAGGTGACAGGAGGTACATATGTAACAAGATGGATGGTTCTAGAGTTGAGATGACAGCCTAACCTTGGTCGTCCTGGAATTGGCTTGACTTTTGAGCTCTTCTCCAGGGAAACAATCTATGATCCTCATCAGAAGGGAGTGGGTCCTACTTAAGGGTTAGATGGTCTGACTGATTTTGATGGCAGATAACCTTTAGGCAGATAGCCTTGAAGCAGTTGACCTTCAAGCATATGTAGTAGCAACCATGTGCTCACAAGAAGCACCTTAAAATTGGCAATTTTATGGGGGGACATTATGGGGAATGACTTTTACTTAGGAGAATGTGACGTTGGAATGCATCTCCAACTTACAAACATGAAGGCCCTCCTCCATGGGGAGCCCCGGCCTCCCAGACTCCTGAACGTATAGCGTTTAGAGTTTGTCCACATACACTTTCTTCTGGGTTCTGTTTCCCACTCATTTTCCAGAAATACCCTGTTCCATTTTCCTTGTCTGTCATAATCAATCTACGAGCTCTGCTGAAACCTGCCTACCATGAGTGATCCTGCTGGGATTTGAAATGTATATTGCTTAGCTTCCAACATCACAGCAGCATGCAAACCACCACAGTAGGGCAAATGGACACACGAGTGGTGACCAAATAAAAATGGTAAATAAAAATGGAATTCTAAAAAATGTTGGAATTGCCAAAAGGCAGGAAAATCCCAACCAGCGCGCAACAGAAAATAAAAGGCGGCCTACACTAATATATCACTAATAACGTTAAATATAACTGGTCTAAAGACACTAAAAGACAATGGCAGATTAGCCCCCAGGTGGGACAGTGGGTTAAGCATGGAGCTACGGATGCAGAGGTTAGCAGTTTATACCCAACATATTGTTGAGAACGAGGGAGCCTGGAGCAGAGACCCAGAACCTATCTGTAGACAATGGGACATCCCCTCACAGAAGGGTCACAAGGAAGGGGTCACAATCAGGGTGCAGTAAAGCACCGATGAAACACAATATTCCTCTGGTTCCTTGAGGCTTCCTCACCCCCCACTATCACGACCCCAATCCTGCCTTTCACTTGGGGCTAGAACGGAGGCTGTACACTGATCCGGATAAGTGCTCACAACACACGGAATCCAGGTCAGACAAACCCCTCAGGAACAGAAATGGGAGTAGTGGTACTAGGAGGGTAGGGGTAAGGTGGGGACAGGAGGGGAGTGTTGGGTCAGGTACTGATCAGGGGACATTAGAAAAGGCCTGCCTAGCCCTATTGGACTAATACGGCTGACTTCAAAGGACCCCAGATGAATGAGCCATCTGCTTGGCATCAGGCAGAATCACCAAAACACCACCCTACCTTGTAATTTTTATAGATGGGGCCTTTTAGAGCCCCTGTAGCTGTAACTCCTACCCCTTTTCTCCTTGCTTGCCTACCTGCGGTTTCTACCCCCTCCCTTATTGTTTAGCCTTCTCCACCACAGATAAGCACGACTTCTTGGGGCGTGGAGCTCGCCCTGGATGTTTCTCTCCTCTCTGCTCCTCCCTCCCTCCCTCCTGAGCAGCAAGACTTCCGTGAATCTCACCCCGGAAGTGCAGAATAAACTTCCTCCTTGTCCTTCTCTCTGGCCTGGCCTTGTTTTATCTTTTTGGTGAACTTAGTAGGGAGGAAGGGGGAACAGATTACAATGATCAATGCACACCATCCCCCCCACCCCCCACACAGAGGGGGACAAACAACAGAAATCATGGGGGAAGGGAGACAGAGGTTGGTGTAAGATATGAAAATAATTAATAGTTTATCAAGGGGTCTCGAGGGTGGGAGCCGGAAAGGGAGGGGAGGGGAAAAAAGGAGCTGATACCAAGGGCTCAAATAGAAAAAACGCTTAAAGATTGATGGCAACATATGTACAAATATGCATGATACAATGGTTGGACGGATTGTTATAAGAGCTGTAAGAGCCCCCGATAAAATGATCTTTAAAAAAAAAAAAAAGATTTGCTCTAGGCTAGGTTGTCGCCATCCTTCAACTTGTGAAAAACAAAACCAGCAACAAAGCAAAAACAGTCCTGCGGGCTCAGCACCCTCGATCAAGGTATGGTTGTATTTACTCGCTGCATGGTAATCTACCTGCGTTGAACTCTGGATCGTTTTCGAGGACCACCACGGCTCCTTCCACAGCGTCCACAGCGCTGCCTCCCGCCTTGAGGATGTTGTAACCCACGGTGGCGGCGCTCAAGATGCCCTGGCGCACACACTCTCTGCGTTCCTTGGTGATTCCACTGGCTCCTCCTCCGTGGACCACCACCACAGGGTCCATGTCCTCAGAGACAGATCCTAGGGAGGGATCAGGAAGGTCAGAGCATCATTCCAGTGCGGGCCTAGAAAGCCGCCTGGGGCCTAACGGCCTTGGGAGAGATTCCGTTTCTATTCCAGCAGTTTTGAGTCAGAGCTGCAACTGAGACGGGATGGGGGCGGGCCTCGGTTTGAACTTGGCACTAAAAGCTCAGGGAACCCCAGACAGGTGTCTCCCTCCACGCTCCCGTGGCTGTCTACCTGGGTCGGGGGCATCTAGGTGGGCGGCAGGGAGCCCGGGGCAGAGCTCAAGCCCCTCCTCCGGGGCTCCTGGTTTCCCCAGGCAGGAGTCCCCGTCCCCCCCAATATTCCCCTCTCAAGGCCCAGGATGGCCCGAGGGCTGGATTTCCGCAGTGGTCTCCCGCCTCCAGCCCTGGCCCTGGGGGAAAGTCAGGCTTGTGCCAAGGTAAAGGGCGGGTGCTAGGGGTCACACCTGGGCGCCCTCCGGATTCCGCTCCGGCAAACCGCTGTGCCCGCAACCGCTCAGCCGCAACGGTTCGTGCGCCTGCGCGCGCGGGCGGGGCCGGCGCGCCTCGGACCTCGGGGGAGTGGCCGTGGACGTCGGACTCGCGGCTGCGCGCACTCTCCGCTCACGCGCTGTGCTCTGCGCCCCGCTCGGCGGCCGATCGCCTCCCGCGAGCCTCCTAGCTGGTTGCAGGGGCACCTTCCCCCTTTGAGACGGGGCATGGGGCGGGGACGAGATCGGAGGAGGGCTGTGCCAGGGTTTCGTCCCTCGCCGAGCTCTGTTGTCTCCCTTCAGCCGCGCAAAGGGAGAAGGCCGAAGCTTTCTGCTCGCAGACAGAGGGGCCACGTTGGAGACCCCCGAGCGCGGTCAGAGTCCGCTCAAGGGCAGCGAGTTTGGACCGGAGTCCTTCAGGACGAGGGCAGCGCCGTTGGGCCCACGCAGTTGTCATTAGCGGCCTGGAACCGCCTCGGAAGAACAGGGTCTATTCCAACCTGTAGCCACTTTCACCCAAAGGGAAACATTTCTCTACAGTAAATGGGAACAAGGTGCCCTGGAAACGATGCTTTCCACCTTCCCATAGTGTTGTAGCCTACTGTCCGTTCCCAGGAAGAAAACTACCCAGACCGCCGACAACTTCAAAAGAAAAAGTTTTATTTCCTAAGCAGGGACTGTCAGCCCTCTTTGAGAGGAGACTGAGCGGTGGCCTGTTTAATTTTCCAAAGGTTTTTATACTTTTGCAATGTGCAGGTTTGCAAGCAAGCAGAGTGCAGAAGCGGGATATTGCAGTTAGCCATTCTTAGTTGAACAATAACTGCTCTTATTTCTTCCGAGCCTTCTGGACATACATTTCCTTCAGTCCGTTGTGCTTGTCAGCACAGCCCCCCTCCCTAATATCAGCTAGTTTATTTATAGTTCATAGCTAGTTCATTTATCGTTCATAATGGCTTCTGTCAGCTCAGAATGGCTTCACTCTTGTCAGGCTGTTTAAGCTTTTCCTAGAGCTACTACAATAGAAATGGAGAGATGGTGTTTATCTTCCTTGACTTGGTCTCTGTGCGTCAGAATTCACTCGGTGACTGTGAGTTTGGTCTGGCTATCTTTCTCAATGGTTACATTCCAGAGAGAGGGCTCCCTGGTCCTTGGAGAAAAACACTAAGCAGCCAACGCGCTGTCTAGAATTTCTTGACTATAAACGAGGCCTTTCTTCAGAACCTCTGCTGAGTGGGCTCCAACTGCGAACCTTTAGGTTATTGTTTTTGTTTGGGGGAGCCATGGAGTCAGTAAAATTTCCCCTCACAGTCACTCCATGTTAAAATCCCCCCCTCTCCCCACTGTCTTAATCTTTACAGATGTAAATCATGATACCCTTTTTTCTGCAAAGCCTCTGGGCAGGTTTGAACTGTCAACCTTTCTGTTAGCAACCAAGCTCTGAACTGTCCCGCCAGCTGGGCTCCCTTTATGATTGGTAGGCCAGCACTGAGGCGTCCCGGTGACAAAATGGTGAAGAGCTTGTGTGGGAAACAGATTTCTCCCAGGTTGTCTCCCCCAAATGTATCCCAAACTTAGCTGCTTGCTACACGAGGAGAATGACTATACAATTGGAGGTCAACAGAAGTAGGTCAGGGGTTATTCTCCCTAAGGGTTATCAACCATCTAGAGCAAGCGGACACCACTGTTTACAACAAGGCCCACTCCCTTTTGTTAAGGATAGTAGTAGATTGTTTCCCTGAAGGAGAGCCCAAGGAGGTCAAGCCCTCTCAGGGGTGACCAAGGTTAGGCAGTCATCATGAATCTAGGGTCCGCCCATCTTGTCACATGTATACCTCTAGTCCCTCCCCTTCCTGCGTGCACACCCCTAGCTCATCCCCTTCCTGTCACGCTTACGCCTATTGTACACCCCCTTCCTATGATGTGTATGTCTATTGTACTGCCCCTTCCTGTGACGTGTGGTTACCTGTAATCACGCCCCCTTAAGTAGTTATAAAGTTGGCTCCTGCTCTCACTCTTGAGGTCTCCCCATGAGGACCACCAAGCGGGGCTAGGTGAGCATGCTACCATGAAATGTGTCTGACTCCATTATTTCAGTCTCTCTTCTATCTCTCATGCTCTCCATGACTTCACTATAATCTTTACTGATTATCGCCGTAAACTTGCGCCTACCGGACCTGTGATGATTTGTTGGGGGCCATCTGCCCTCCCTGCCCCCCCCTCTGCCCCACAAGCTTGGGTACTGTAGGGCTTCATGGGAGAAAAGTGCTAGCAAGTTGATCCTTGAAAAGATGACAGATGGGGGCAGTTTTACTCTGTCCTACAGTAATTGCTCTGTGGGGTTAAGGGGAAGAGGGAACCCCACAAAACATCACAGGTTCGGTAGG